CCATTGTTGATCTTTTGCCCACCAGTGTTGTGCGCGTGCGCGAAAAAGCCTTTTGTTTTTGTTTTGTTGACCGTTCCTATAGGTGGCCGGCCTGTCTCGGCCATATGGAGCTGTATCCACTGACTCTTCACCGAATGCTCACCACGGTGGCCGGATTGCCTGCCTTGGGTTGCCTGAGGCGCTCCAGAGCCACGCCTCTTCAGCGCTCACAACCCACACGAAGTTCTTAGTTTTGTCCCATTTTTATATGGGGTCGCCGTTATGGATGAGCCGCCACCACTGATTTTCCTCAATCAAGGTAAAGATCCTTGCCTATGGGTACAACGCAACACAAGAACAAACCTCTAAACTTCAACCCACACCACGACCACTGACCTTGAGCTTCGACCACTGACCTTGAGCTCCAACAACTGACCCTGAGCTTCAATAACTGACCTTGAGCTTCAATAACTGACCTTGAGCTCCAACAACTGACCCTGAGCTTCAATAACTGACCTTGAACTTATTGGGAGCCTCGATCAGGTCAGCGGCGGGGACCTCCCTCAGGCAGGCCACCAACTCTGAGCTGGTCAAGGGCGACGACCCTGAACAGTTGAACATCTCGCCGAACCGGGTCGCGACGTCGCTGTGGTCTTCCCTGACCGCCCACGGGTCGAGCGCCGTTCCCGACTGCATGATGGCGCGCTGGAAGAGACCTGCGGGCGCGTGGGCGGGTTAGGCCTTCTCAGGAAAGGGAATTGGATGGTGATGGTAGTGGTGGTGATGGTGATGATAATGATGGTGGTGGTGGTGATGATGATGATGTGGTGGTGATGATAATGATGGTGGTGGTGATGATGATAATGATGGTGATGATGGTGGTGGTGATGATAATGATGGTGATGATGGTGGCGGTGATGATGATAATGATGGTGGTGATGATGATGATGATGATGGTGATAAGATAATGATAATGGTGGTGGTGGTGATGATGATATTAATAATAGTAGTAGTAAAGAATAATGAAAATAATCATGATAATACTAATAGTATTGTAGTAATAGTAAGTGAAGTAATAGTAGTAATGATGATAATAATAATAATGATAATAGTAATAATAATTATTAATATGATAATTTATAATAATAATCATCAATAATTACAATAATAAAATAATAATAATAGCGTTGTAGTAACAGTATAGAAGTAATAGTAGTGGCAATAGTAGTAATAGATAAGTAGTACCGGTAGTGGTAATGATAATGATAATAATGGGGAAACAACAGCAACAATAATTAGTATCTTAATCATTAATTTAATGTATTCTTGATAAAGTATACCGCATGTGTGTGTGTGTGTCAGAGAGAGAGAAAGAAGAGAGAGAGAAAGAGAGAGAGAGCGAGAGAGAGAGAGACAGAGAAGAGAAGAAAAAACGAAGAGAAAGAGAAAGAAAACGAAGAAAGAGAGACAGAAAGAGAAAGAAAAAAACGAAAGAGAAAGAGAGACAGAAAGAGAAAGAGAAAGAGAGAGACAGAAAAACATACCTGCGGACATGGGTGACAGCACGTGGAAGTGAGTGGACGCGGCCCCAGCTGACTCCCCGAAGATGGTGACCTTGCCTGGGTCGCCTCCGAATGCCCGGATGTTGTCCTGCACCCAGCGGAGGGCCATTGTCTGGTCCTTCAGTCCGAGGTTGCCGGGAATTTCGTCATCTCCGGTCGTCAGGAATCCTGAAAAGGTAACCAGGGGCTGTGCTGAAAATACCTGACAGTGTGATACAAGGGTTTTCAGAGGCTTCGTCGAACTACAGTTATGACATCTGAAATGAAAATGATGTTATATTTTACATTATATTCTTGTGTGTGTGGAGGGGGGGAGTAAAAAATTCATGCGTATTATAATTTTTCTAAAATGTAAAATAAGGGTGTCTATGGAAAGTCAAACTTTCGCTTCTCTCTTTCTCTCTCTCTCTCACTCTCTCTTCTTTCTTTCTTTCTTTCTTCTTTCTTTCTTTCTCTCTCTTCCTCCTTTCTTTCTTTCTTTCTTTCTTTCTTTCTTTCTTTCTTTCTTTCTCTCTCTCTCTCTCTCTCTCTCTCTCTCTCTCTCTCTCTCTCTCTCTCTCTTCTTTCTTCTTTCTTTCTCTTTCTTTCTTTCTCTTTCTCTCTCTCTCTCTCTCTCTCTCTCTCTCTCTCTCTCTCTCTCTCTCTCTCTCTCTCTCTCTCTCTTCTCTCTCTCTCTCTCTCTCTCTCTTTTCTCTCTCTTTCTCTCTCATACACATATTGACGTGGGAAAGTGCGTGAGTGGCCATGTGAAAGAGTATGTATGGTCGTGTCCGAGTGTAAGGAAATGCGTAACCCTTGTAAAAGAGAATGAAAGTGTGTGGACACGTGGAAGAGTGTCTGTGGCCATACGAAAGAGTGCGTGGCCAATGTGAAAGATTGTGAAAGTGCGTGAAGACCTTGGGTGACTCCCTTTTCACCCCCTGGCCATTGGGTAACCCCTTCTCTACCCATTGGGGAAT